ACCGGAAACGTCCTTACCTGATATTGGAAAACCTACCTTGACACAACCTGAAGTCTCTAACACAAGTCATGTGGACTATGTTCCTTCCGATGCGAGGTCTTCAGACCATGTTGTGATTGACATTCCCGAACCCAACTTGACACCTACCATGACTGATGCAGATCTCACTCCACCAGAGCCTGCAGTCATTAATGATGATGCTGTTAGTACTGATGCTGGTGCTACAGAACCAGTGAGGTTGAGGCGCTCTGACAGAGAAAGACGCCCACCTCAGAAATTCACTTATGATGAGTTAGGAGAGCCACTGACCTTGGCTATTAGCTCCTTTTTCCAAACCTTAGGCGTTGCATTCTCCAAAACTGTCATGTCACCTTTACCAGGCCCCAGTTGGTCTATGATGCATGAAGGGACTCATGCCGTTTAGAGGGGGAGAGTGTAACCCATGGTTATTTTATTGCCAATTGTATTCTGTTTTTATTCTAATTTGAAGTGTTACTGTTTTGTTAAATGCTGAGTTTTCCCCATGTACCGTGAATGCACCATAGCGCGTGCGTGGTGACTTTCTTTCACTGCATCCGCCTGCACGGAGCTAGATGCGCAAAGCTGTGTGGATATTCAGTCCTGTAACGTGTTGCGCTACGGAATTAATGTTTTCTATGAAGAATATCCTGGTGAGTCTCACAGTTGCAGTTTCAGTTGTGATTCATAGTCCAGTTTCTGAGCATAAAACCAGTCAGGATACTATGCTTGTCGGAAATGTGATGTTTGTCTTAGAACCTGCTAACGATTGCTTAGCTGTGTTAGCCTGTGGAAAGTATGCTAGCGTACCCACATGTGCTCCCTGGGCTAATGCGCTTACATGTGAAGTTTTAGCTAACACACCACGGAGACACTTTTCATGCTTCATGATTTGCAGTGAAATGTATTTTTGTTGTTGATAAATTGTTATTGGCCAATAAGAACTGTATAGGTGTGTGATGTGTGAGGGGGAACAAAAAGGGATAACACTAGAGAAACACATGTTTTATTTTACAAGTGAGTGATTGCACTGCACGCTGTGTGCAGGCTGGTTTTTTTTATGTAGTAGAAATCTGCTGCAAGGACCGAGCGGTGCCATCTAAGGACTGGATGCCACTGGAGGTGCCTAGAAAGGACGTTCTCAATCTGAAGGCCACCTGTTTCCTTGGAGGGTGGTAGGATACAACGATTTGCAATTTTTTTTTGGATTAACGTTTTTTTCTGAGATCCCAGGACACTTTGTTGTTACTTTTTTCTTTTTTTTGGGTCAGATCTGATTCCACTTAACACAAAAAAAAAGCAAAAACTGTGACTAAAGACAATTAACACTTACTAAGAACACTGAATACTAAGTGCACTGAACTGAAATGGACAGCCTACCTGATACATTTATGGACACTTTAAGTGATATGTTGTACATTGTTGACATTTACATGTTTGAAATGATTTAAATGTTTTGTTCATGTCTATGTTTTGGACCATTTAAATGTTGAATACACTCAAATCACTTTTCTCCCTTTAAGTTGTTGTCAGTGTCTCATTCTGAGTGGAGGGATATTCCTTCTTTAAGTTGAGTTACCACTGCCAGTCTCCTTACGATCCTAACTGAACCCAACAAGAGTAGATTCCCAAATATAGTTTTTTTTCCTTGACTTTGTATGACAGATTACTGTGGATTTGACTGATTTTGGACTACTCAGTAAAAAAGGGTGACATAAACACTGTTTGTTTTTTTAAACCCTCTGGTTAAGGTTAATATGGGCATGTGCAGTGAATATCAGCTCTATGTGGCCAGAAGTGTGATAATATAATTTATTTTGTGTAATAAACAACTGCAAGGATAGATGATTACAACAAATAGATGACTAATACATAAAAGTAATACATAGATGAATAATGATGATGAGTTAAGATGCGTAATCATGGGAACAAGCGGGTTTACAAACAGGAGCAGCTGATTAGCTTTAGAAAAACTGAAATAATACCTCAACTGAAGCCAATTGTACTAAATGCACTATATGTGCACTGTTACAAGAATATTTTTGTTCTATTGTTTTATATTAATTTATATAATTTTAAGTTAAGCAGGACAGAGTTCTTTTAAAGAAAGATTTACTTATATTCTCAAAAGTTAAGCATGACAGGCTTCTGTTTAAGAAAGAGACCTGTTTTACTGTGTTAATGTTGTCATTTTGAGCTAAAAATAAACGGCTAAATGATCATTTGTTTCCCATATGGTCATATCACAAAGAATATGCATCTGCTTAAATCAAATTCAAGTCAAATGGTTAAAAAATAATTTCACACACAAAAAAAAGAGCTACAAAATTCACCACACTGGGAAGGGTGAACTGGGTTGCCCGGCCCTGGCCACGAGGTGTCCCTTATTTATTTTTCAGGGAGTTGGCAACCCTAGTACAGGCTGACATTAGCTGGATGCTAACTTCAGTTCATATATAGATGTGTTGAACATCACATCAGAGATGTTTTCTTTATATTCTGTTAGTCAAGTCAGTCAAGTCAAGTTTATTTATAGAGCACATTTAAAAACAACCAAGGCTGACCAAAGTGCTGTACAGTAAATACAGATAAAAATACAATAGAACACAATTTCGTAAAACACCTCGCTGATCAAATAAAAAATAAATAAACAAATAAATTAAACCTTTCTAAAAGCCAATGAAAAGAGGTGAGTTTTAAGAGCAGTTTTAAAAGTTTCTAGGCTTTTGGAGACTCTGACGTGAGGAGGTAAACTGTTCCACAGTCTGGGTGCAGCCACAGCAAACGCCCTCTCTCCCTTTGTCTTTAATTTATACCTGGGAACATCTAAAAGCATCAGATCGGCTGACCTCAAAGATCTCCTGGGGCGATAAGTACTAAGGAGTTCTGACAGGTAAGAAGGTGCAGTGCCATTTAAAACCTTAAAAGCCAGCAGTAAGATTTTAAAATCAATCCTAAAAGCAACTGGGAGCCAGTGGAGAGAGCAGAGAACCGGAGTGATGTGGTCTTTTTTTTGAACCGGTCAACAGGCGAGCGGCAGCGTTCTGCACCAGTTGAAGGCGATGTAGACAGGAACGATCTAGGCCAGCATAGAGGGAATTACAGTAGTCCAGCCGTGAAGTAATAAAAGCATGGACCACTCTTTCTAGATTGTTCCTGCAAAGGTAAGACTTGACTTTGGCTAAAATCCGTAAATGATAAAAAGATCCCTTAACTACAGAGCTGATTTGTTTATCAAGTTTAAAAGCATTGTCAAAAATAACTCCAAGACTCTTAATGGAAGAAGTGCAATCGGAGGTTAGGGGTCCCAAAAAGTCAAGAGAGAAGTTGGGATCTTTAGGAAGCCCAAACACAATGACTTCAGTTTTGCTTTCATTAAGGTGTAAGAAGTTAAGAGTCATCCAAGTCTTAATGTCAGACAAGCAGGAGAGTTGATGTTTTGAAATATTTCAAAGTGTCTCCAAGTTAAATGTTGAACCTTTAATATAGCGACACTTAGAGCTCTGAAGCCGTTTTCTCTCGTTTACAATTCAACCAATAAGTTACTGAGTAAGTTAATTTATCTGTAATTAAAGTCATCAACACTTAAAGCTTTATGTGAAATATTTGTTTTTCAAATCCATCATACAAAAAATTAAATACAACTTCCATGTAAAATGCAAAACTAAATATACATGACTCACATAACACAATTAACATTTAATGTCTTTCTGTCACTTTCACATACACAGAGGTTTAAAAATGTCCTTCTGATGTTCCAGCTGATCAGAACCTTTAAAATTCTTATTAATCAAACATATTTTTTTCTGAACTTTTTGAAACAAGACCAAGAACTGTAGTTTTAGGACCAACAGGCTGATGAATAAACCAAGTAAAGCAAAGTAAAGACAAGCTGCACTTTGACTTTTATTAGAACAATTTGCTGGAACTACAGAGTAATGAAGTACTTCAAGGTTTTGTGTGGATGACTTCCAACCTTACTGTACAGCACAGAGCACAGAGGGACAATATATGTAATCAATATATGATGCAGAATGAACAAGTAAAGACTGTAAGCTGAGTCTGAGGCTCATGCAGGACATTTCATAGTGAGGTGTCTTGGTTGGATTATTCAACATTTACATCAAAGCACCAAACTCATTTCTCACAGATGAAGGTCGTTGAATAAGAATAATATGACCGTGTCCATTTCCCATAATAGTCACAGCAGACTCCATAGTAACCATAATAAGGATCTGACTGTCCTGCTGCCCAGAACCTGTCAGAGAGATCAAATCTGATATGAAACTGGACTAAACTCATAACTATTGTCACATTCATATAAATATGCGTCTCTTTTGGAATATTTCCAATATTTGCTGTATTTCTTTCCCAGGTTTCTCGCCCACTTTCCCTCCTTTAGACTTTTCTCTGAGAATCATCATGCACACTAAAACAGCTTTCAAGCTTTGATGAATATGAAATCTTCCTGCTGTAAAAATGGAGAATAAAAAGAAGTCAGAGCTGACTTTCTGCTGTTTGAAACTGTTTTGTCAGCTGTTTACAGACATCACTTTGAAATGTGTGTCTATCAGGTCATATTTACTGAAGCTTCTTCCTTCATATGTTCTGAAGTTTTACAAACACCAAAGAAGAAGAGACAGGAATTCTCTGAAACACTTTTTGTTCTGTGAGAAAAGAAACATTACAGCACAAAAACATGAAGACAAATTGAACAAAGTGAAATGTGTCGGTCGCTGCTTTGAACATGTTTCAATCCTGATTCCTTCAAACTGACTTGTTGTAACTGAACGTCATCACAGACTGCAGATGAAGAGAGTTCAAGCACAGCTGTTCATTCAAAGGAGGATTTCTGCTTTTCTTTACATTCAGTTTGTGGGGCTGTTGGAAAATAGCTCAGCTCATGTATTGCTGATCTATCTTCCAAAACATCAGTGTTTCACCTCTAAATAATAACTCTGGAATAGAAACAAACTAATGTCTCACGTTTCTGTCAGCACTGATCCGTCCACCCATTCCCATTCATATCCTCCTGATGTCCATTTAGCTTCCAGACCAATCCAAGAGTGTCCTCTGAAATTACTGACAAATTCCTGTTTGAGAAGAGACACAAATATTGTCTCCAGTCATAATTCAGCACTTCTGTTGTAGTGACATCATCTTGTGAACATGTCTGAAGGAAGAATAACTGTGATGAAACTTTTCTTCCATTGTGCAGAAATCAGAAAGAGCCAAAGAATCATGAATATCAGCTCCTCCTGTAGCTCAGTCAGTGTTGCAGTGGAATCAGTGTTAACAAATCATTTGATTCAGTTGGATTGAATCAGAAAAATAATCTGGATTATGAGGATTTCTCTCATTTTATAACATTTCTGTGTAAATTAAATGTTTGTCAAATGTGTAAAAACTTTACGTTTGAATGTGTCTGCAACAAAAAAGGAGAATCCAAGAAATCCATCAGAGTGGAGACAGGAAGCAGGTCACAGACTGACAGCAGGTCAAAGACACAAGTAACAGATGACTGTCAGCTCCATCAAAGATCACACAGACATGAACAAACACACCCACCTGTTCCTCTTTGCTGTTTATCATCACCAGATCAGCTCCTTTATCCTGACAGGCTCTCCTGCTCTCAGACCAAGTTTTCCTCTCAGTGGATTTAAAGTAGCAGCTGCTTCCAAATCTCATCCATCGATCAGGACACTTCCCTTAAAGTCAAACACATGTTTTAAAGACAGACTTTGTGTCCTGTTGTATCACATTAATCTTTGGTTCCTGTCATTTTCCCTGTAAATGCTTCATTTAAACTCAGGTTTTCTCTCTTATTCATAATGAACTGAAACTTACATTTATACAGAGAAACTGTTACACAGCATCAAACATTTAGGATTCAAAACAAAGACACAATCAGGTTATCACTGTGTAACACTGATGTTTTCTATCAGTTATTCAAACTTTATTACCTTCTATCTTCTCCTTCAGCTTCTTCACTTCTTCCTGTAGCTGACTGTGGTTTTTACTCAGTTCATCATAACGGCTCTGTAACTGAGTCAGGCTGGTTTTTGTGTCTTTAGAGTAAAAAGATTCAAATTAAGTTAAAATGTTCTACAAATATATCTGTGATATAAGAACTTGGTGTTTGCTTACCTTGAAGTTCATCCTGGAGCTCAGTGTGATTCTTTTTGGTGTCATTGTAAACGTGGTTCAGTTTGTCACATTTAGCATGAAGTCTTTTGTTTTCACTCTTGTTCAAAGCATCTGAAATATTTCAGTGAAAGCAAAATAAAATAAAATAAAATGAGTGAAACGTTGAACAGAAATAATCTTCTTCCTCTGCTTTGTCAAATATCAATAAGAGTCAGAAACTTGCAGCCATTGTTCTTTAACATGTCCTGTGGGTGGAGGTGTTAGAACTACAGGAAATCTGATGAGCTAAATACGTATCAACTGTGAACAAAAACCACTGACAAGATTCAGAATAATTGTGCTTCAGTGTGGAGGAAGAAGGTGAAGAGTCAAACAGCATTTCTACACCTGTAGTCAGAGATGTTATCTATATGCTTTGAAAGAATAGATTCTGACTCATGTGACATGTGCCTGTTCTCACTGAAAATATGTCTTTTTACATTCAGTCAAAGCTGCTCTGAGGCTTCAACACTTCCTCTTTCTGCTTATTTATAATTAATAAATGTTTCTTCCTGCAGCTTCCAGGAACTTCCTGCTTTCAGACGTCCTTTTGCAGGCGTCTCTGTTCTCACATCATAGATTTGTGATGTTTCTGCTGATCCAGCATTAAGTCTGTCACAGCTCCACCAGGAGCTAAAGGTCAGCTGAAGATCATCAACTGATTTAAAACATAGAATCAAACCACCTTAAAATCCAAACATCAGCAGCTGCTGGGAGTTTTCTCTGTGTTGTTGTTTTTGTTATTGTGGAGTCTTTACCTGATAATATAAAGAACCTCGATGCAACTGTTGTTGTGATTTGATGTAATAAAAAAAGATTCATTGATATATCCCAGCAGATGAATGGAGCTAACATTAGCTTGTTAGCTACCTGCTTAATACAGCAAGTGAACTAACTAGTCGCACAATGACAGACGGCCACTGTCTAACATAGTGTGGCTGCACCTGCATCAGTCTGCAGCAGATGCTGCTGCCTGTCTGCTTTGTTGAGATAATCACAGAATCAGCGTGTTGAGTGAAGAGTTTGAAGGAACAACAAGAACATTCACTCCACAACACACACAAGATATGAGCCAGGAATCATGCACACAGACACACACCTGCTAATCAGTGCTAAGTAACAGACTGATGAAATACTAGAAGCTCAGTCAGCAAAACCAACGTGTTGGTCAGGCTGTACCACACAGCAGCTCATATTATTGATCAGAGAATTCCATTTAAAATGCCACCGTGCAGTTTTTATGAAGAGGAAACTATCCTTAGAGACCAAAACTCATTTGGTCCTGAAGGGAAACATGTTTTTACTGCAGCAAAGGTGCTCATTTTAACATGGGAGTCTGTGGGGACTGACTCGCTTTCAGCATCAGCCTCCAGTGGTCATTAAAGGAACTGCAGTGTTTGCTGCTTCTGTGTTGGCTTCATGTACTTCCTGTATTTGCTGTGGCAGAAGGACACGTTCTGGTTGTGAAGCTGCATGTTTGTTGGCTGCTGGGATTCAGTATCAGTCATACATTCATTTGCAGGAGAAGTTCAGAGGTTGTATCTTATCTTACAGCATATGGACAGGATGATGATCCCAGCTAACATCAGGAGGCACAGCACTCTTAGACCCAGTGTAGCACATCTGAAAGAGCCCTTCAGGACTGAAGGAGGATTCAGAGTCTGTGGTCCTGTTAGAAAGCAGTGTGGATGTTGGTCTGTGCTTATTTCCTGTCAGTCTGTGATTAACACATAGTGGTCACTACAGGCTGTTGTCTTGTATTTGTGTCAGTGTTGATGGTCTACTTACACATAAACCACTACATTGGACACTGATGCGTCACTCCATACCAAATACTTAATTTCAAATGTATGTTGTCCACCTAAGTGGACATGTAAAAAACTCTTTGAAAAGTAATTCATGCATGAAAGGCTTAATAGACCTGCGGTTGAGGTTGTATCAGCTTAGCCAAAAACAAAAGAAATATAACATCTGCGCTGTGACTAAAGTGTGTAAATAAATTTCCTGTTCACAGAGCTCTACAAACTCTACAGTACATTTGTTTTTATAATTGACTTACCTCCTTCCTCCGATTGAAAATGATCATAACTATCTCTGATCTCATCTGCACTCTCGTAGATATCCACCTCCCTCTGCTCCCACTCTGCTCCGTCCTCCTTTCTGCTGTATCTCACCTTCTTTGATAGATCTGGTTCAGCATAAATATCTGAGGACATCGTGAGAGGATGGAGACGCTGAGCAGGAGTTTAAGCTGTACTCTAACAGTTCTGCAGTACTGACCCTGGTAGATATCAAGCTGTTCTGTACTGATGCTGCTCTCAGTGTTTCTTGTCCAGCCTTCTGTCTGCTTTCAGACAGGAAGAAGCTTTGAGGAAGTGGCAGCATGCAAAGAACCACAGACCCAAACTTTCATTTAATTAATGTGAATAAAAACCTCCAGTGTGGTGGAACACACAAATAGAACATTTCATTGTATTTATATTTGCAAAGCCACTCAGAAAAGTGTAAAAACATTTTGCATGAAACAAAAATAATTTCATTTTTCTTTGTTTAACTAAAGGTGAGCTCATGGTGAAACAAACCACAACCACATTCACACCTCATGCTCACAGTGTGCACAAAGCAGGAAATGTCTCTTTGTCAGCAACACCTTTTTCTTTTGCTTGATAGAAAAAAATGTTAAGTTTTAACACTTGCTCTTGACGAAGGAGGTCGCACTTTTCTCCTCCCCTCCTCCTCCTCTCCCTTAGCTTCCCTGCTTAGCCTCTTATGTCCTTCTCTAGTCTCGTGTTTTTTGTATTACTTTCCCTGGAACATTCTCTCACAGTCTGTTCTCTAAAACGTAAAAGAGGAATTATGGATTTGATCAACTGGTCCCTGAATGCAATTGACACCCTTTTCTCAACGAGAAGTCTGGGCTCGGGTGAGCCTGAGTGCTGAAGATATCGACCTATTCGGAACCATGATAACAGGGTCCTTGCTGATCGGAGCTGGCTTGGCCCTGACTTATCGAAGAATTAAAAAAGCGGAACCGGCTGTTCAAACCCCCACAAGGCTGCCCGCTGGGATTGAAATGATGGGACGAGGCGTGAGTTTCTCAAAATGGGCTCATTGAGTGCAGCACGGATAAGATCTTGGAGAAGCTTACGGCTGCCGTGAATACTCAGAATAAGACCTCTGAGTGCAAACTAGATTACATCTTGGAGGGGCTCGCTCGGAATAACACTGAAAGAAGAAGAAGAAGTGAAAACCTGAACAGAATCTTAATAAAATGCTCCTCCTCATCCTCACTTCATCCCTCATCTCCTGAGCTGAAGTCAGGAGTCTAACACATGAAATGTGCATAGACATACTTATTTTTTCTTGATATTGTAACAATTACTTATTGTCAGCAGATTAGACATGCAACCCGCTCATCGCAAAGGAACAAGAGAAGGACAGCAAACATAACAACAGCATGGTATAAGCTATTATTATACCAGCAGATGTTAGGCTCAAGTGTTCTAAAAATCACACTTACACTTTGGTAAATAGTTTGATTTCATTCTCACATAATAGGAGGCTTTATTCACTCAACGTTAAAGCCCAACAAAGTTACTGCCACTTCAAAGAAAGCTTGATTAACAATAGTGAACAGCAGCTAACAAAGGCTAAAAGCAGCTAACAGAGGCTAACCACAGCTAAGAACAGCAAACAGAGGCTAACCACGGCTAACAGCAGCTAACAAAGGCCAACCAAAGCTAACAGCAGCTAACGGAGGCTAACCATGGTTAACAGTGGCAAAAACACAGCACTATACACTAAAGTAAAGTAAATATACACTAGTATATGTGTCTATTTGCTCCCCTTACCTCAGTCTCAAAGTATATATATATATTTATTCTTATTATTATTCTTATTCTTCCTAGATTTATTGTTTTCTCTTGCACTGTATGGAACTGGAGCCTCGTTGTCTCGTCTCTCTTTAAACTGAACTTTATATAGCAGAGATATTAAAGTTTACTTTGACTTCAACTACCAACATTTCAACCTATCTTCAAACCTCAGTATGGCTGAGCTTCCCTGACTCCTTTCACAAAGTTTTATGACACTTTCCAGAGTAAATAAAGATTGATGTTTATCACTCATTGACAGCTGAGGAAAACAGTGGAGTGTCAGCCTTCCAAAGATAGGAAAAACTGTGGGCAGATCCGGTCCAACTACTGGTAGAAGCATGCAGGCTGCCTGCCACTGTTATGGGGTCCAATCTAAATGTTATGTTTTTGTCTCACTATAACATGTTTGTCATATAGCAGCCACTTCAGCTATAACTATGCACTTGAACTGGGTGGGTAAAAAAAAGATCCCAATGCAAATATGCTAAAAGCAGAAATGGTAAAATATCTTGTTACCTTCAGTTTCCTGTCACGTTTGTTAATATAATCAAAGAACTATGAGTGGTCTGAAGCAACCATCGAACATTTACTCAACAACAGAGAGCCATGCTGTCAAAAGCCTGTAAGAAAAACATGTCATGGTTTGGGTCATTGTGACCCAGTGTTTTTGAGTTCTTGTGTTTTGGTGTCATTTTTGTATTATGGTTTATGTTTTAGGTTCATTAGCAGTCTTTATGTTTGCCCTTGTGTGTATTTATGGCTGCATCTCCCTCTGTCCTGCGTTGCGGTCTCCCTCATACCCAGCTGTGTGTTCTGTTCATAGTCTAGTTTCTAAGTCTCTGTCTTTAAGAGATTCCTGCAGTTTAACTAATTGGTGTGTGTTATCTGGCTTCATGGACAGATAGAATTGGGTGTCATCTGCATAGCAGTGAAACTGTATGCTATGTCTTCTCACGATCCTGCCTAAGGGTAGAGAATTCTAACAATTAGTATAACTTGGAGGTGTTGAGTCATTGAAACTAATATAATCATCCTGCTGTAAACATGTTTCTGTAAGCCAGAGTAAGACAGTTTTGATGATCAATTATTAATTCATGTACTCACAGAGATTTGGAAGAGAGACACCTAATGTTTAATAATCCACATTCTTCATTTGTTTTTTGTTGGTTTGGGTGCAGACACAGTCTCTAAGTAAATGGGGTTTTGGAGAGATAACACAACATGGTAATAAAATTTCTCACAGCGTGTCGTGATTGCAGCCAGAATCAGCAGATACAGCACTCCCAGGTTCACTTCAAAACCTCTGAAACTGCTTCGTTTCCCAGCTGGAAGCTTCTTCTGAGTGTCAACACCTAAAGGGAAAAAACCCAACTTTTTTATATAATAATATTACTGATTTCTTTTTAATTGAGATTTTTAATACTGGAGCATGCCTTAATTAAATGGATCTGCCTTGTAGTAATAATGATATCTCCAACAAGTTGATCTTGTATATTTGAGAATTACAGGAAATCAGGTAAAATGTTCTACTGGAGGAAAACATGGTTGATATAATTTGGTGCAAAATCATATCTTTAGTTTATTCCCACATGTATTGATTCTTCAACAGTGTCTGACAAACCTCTTTTAAAGCAAAGGACAATATTAATAATGATAATTATGAATAATCTTCATAATTTGCTCACAGGAAGACTTATTTTGAGATGTTAGGTCCCAGCCAAGCAGGCATAGAGACCACTTAATGATGGCCAGTTTAACTCATTGGTGTGTGGCTTGATAGACAGATGAAGGTGGGTATCATCTGCACAGCAGTGGTAATGTCTGCTATGCCTTATGATGATACTGCCTAACAGAAGCATGTATAATGTAAACAAAACTGGTCCTAACACTGAACCCTGTGGAACTCCATAATTCACTTTTGTGTATGAAGATTCTTCTTTAACATTTACCTTCAAAGTAAAAGTTGAACCTTTTGTACAAACTGGCTTTAGCAACTTTAACCCTGAAGGTAAATGTTCTCTGTTTCTAGTTTGCATCGCACTCGATGCAACACACTTGATCACTTCCACACAAACGTTGCAAGACCAATCTACCAGCAATAGTGTACGAAGGCCACCAATGGGTTACTAACTTGTGTCTAGGCCTGTGTCACTGAAGCCTAAAAAAAACCTAATATTATAATTGGCTCTGAAAAATGTACATCAACTTGTTTTCTGAGGTTATTTGTGCTCCACACAGTTTCTAGCAAGTTTGTTTTTAAACTTCTGTTGCACCACCGAAGAGCTCCTGCTGGATAAGCCATTAGAGTCATGCAGCACTTCCCTCCTTCATTGTAAACTTTTGAAATGTTTGTTGCTTCCTACTTACCAGCTTCTTGTATCCCAACATCAGGATGCTGCTCTCCATCGTCTATCATCTGCACCTCGCTGTACTCTCTCTGTCGTCCATCACTGTGGGTCCTTCTGCTGTATTTCACTCTAAAATCTGCTGCAGCTTGAATTTCTGCGGACATCTTGGTGGGTGAGAGTGTTTGACGAGGCTTCAGTGTCTGTCTGGTTTGTTTCTGAGTCGGGCAGCTTTTAATAGACATCAAACAGGAAGTAGCAGCAGACCAAACCACCAACAGAGGGGCCAACTTCATTTCTGCTTTGCATTGTGGTTAGCAAACTTTTTACTGAGAGTTTGTTTAAAATAAAAAAGAAGCTAAAAAGTTATTTATAAATATAAGTCAGCAGCAATAATCGGCACATAATGCCTTTTTCATGAGTCTTCCTGGTTTCATGACTCTGTACACATCATAAGTACGTAGAAGCACATGAGTGTCACAGGAAATATGAGGTCGGGCCCTGTGTCACTGGTGTGTTTCTCTCAGCACAGACTGGCCACCACAGCCTCTTCAGGTCACACACTTTATTTTCCAGCACACACATGAAATGTTTCTGACTGAGCTGCTCTGCTGTTGAGCCCGACTGAGGGAAATGTGTTTTATAGGATTTAGTTCCAGCTTCTCCCAACCGGCCACAGTGAGCTTGTCCACTTACTCCGTGTGTCTTCAGGTCTTAGACACCACCAAAATAGAGATGCAGTCACTCTGTTTTTCAACTGAAGCTTGTCGTGTTCAAAATGTCAGAAGGAATTTCAGGAGAAAATATCTGTCTATTAAAAAGATTTCATTTGCTTTGGTATTTGAAATTCCAATTTTACAGCACTGGACTGTGATGTGATGCCAGAGTCAGCCTCACACCAAAGATGACCCTCAGAGCGGGCGGTACAGTTTTATACTACAAGAAGAACATGTATTATTATGACTATGTTCTTCCAGAAGCGGCGTGGCAGTCTGCTACAACTCCTCATTCACTCCACGTCTGCTGCTCCCTCGACCTCCTATCTGCTTCT